TTTTCAGAGTTCTACAAGAGAATGTGTCACCCAAAGAACTCCAGAGGCGTGGCGTGTGCCTCCTCAAGCTGCGCGTGCAGAGCAGGCACACAGGGATGTATGGGCGTAGTGTGCTCACAATGCAAACATTTTGGCCTGGAAATGAACTTCCATCACACAACCTCAGTCCAGGTAAAATGAACTTTCATTGTACAGCCTCAGTCTAGGTAGTCCAGGCCACTTGAATATTTTTCAGCATCATCAGCAGGAGCATATATACCATTACTTTTGTTCACAAAACCCCCTGTAGACTAGTACTAAAGATGATATATTTTACAAAACTTTTCATTTGATGTTTTTGATACTGAAGGCAGTGAAAATGAAATTATACTTTTTTAGGTGACATAGTAGGTATCAGTCCATCATCTGGTGACCCCCGAGTAGATCAGATAGCATCCGGCATAGTGTCCAAGGTGGGGCAGAGCTCCATCAGTGTGGCCTTTGAGGAGAGTTTTGACAGTCTGCAGGTTGAGGATGATACACAGTACAAGCTGATCAAATTAGCCAATGATGTCACTTATAGGAGACTCAAAAAGTTATTGACTTTTCATTTTTTGCTTGTCTTTAAAATGGTTCAGTTTGTTTGTTTTTTTTAATAAATTGTCATTAAGCTATGTTGAAAAAATATTGAGATTTCACAGATGTTTAAAATAGACACTTTTTTATTAGCTTTTTTTTTACATGTGACTGTAATAGTGATATGAATATCCAGCATGGTTTTATTGCAGAGCCCTAGAACAACTGAACAATTACAGGGCAGGAGTAAGTTCACAACTGATAAACATACTGTTTGGAAGTGCTGATCTCAGCATACCCTACACTGGCATGTCTGGAAGTGGAGTTAAAGGTAATACTTGCTTGAATCTTCAAAAAGTAGTGAATGAGGCTCTATCTGTGACAAAAATAGTAAGTTAGATGGGAATGCACTCTTCTAAACCAAAAGTATTGGTATAAAATAGTCCTTGAAAAAGGATGAAATAAAATGATATTTTTAAACTACATGTCAATTTTCCAGATCTTGCCTTTATCAACCCTCACCTAGATGAGTCCCAGCAAGCTGCTGTGGAGTTTGCATTAAATCAGAGAGAGGTGGCAGTGATACATGGACCCCCAGGGACAGGAAAGACCACCACAGTTGTAGAGATCATACTGCAGGCTGTCAGGCAGGGGATGAAGGTTGGTGTTTACTTTTTTAGGTCTATTGTTGGACATACTACCAATAACAGAGAAACGTCTGAAAAAATATTGATACTTAAAATGCATAAAGTGTGTTAAGAATTGACAGTCCTGTTATGGAAAACTCTTATTGTAAGGCATTATGTTTGTGAAAGACAATTATAATAGTGTAGTAAAGAACAAACGCGGCACTTTATTTTAAAAGTCACTAAAATTACAGTCAAGACTGTACGTGAACTGTAACATTTTGTTTTGAATGGTGATTATTTAAAAGAACATACATTTGTCAGCACTATTCATTTTACTTTCCAAATTAGATTTTAGCATGTGCTCCTTCCAACATTGCTGTGGATAACCTTGTCGAGAGGATAGGTGGTGCTGGTAAGGCTAAAGCAGTTCGTCTTGGCCACCCAGCAAGAATATTACCAGGTATTCAGAAATATGCTCTGGATGCCATCTTGGCTACAAGTGAGGAAACCAAGTTGGTAGAAGATGTCAGGAAAGATCTCGATATAACATTGGTGAGTGGGGCAAAATGACAATTTAGTGAATAAAAGTTGTTCTTGGCTCTGTAGTAATGTGTAACAATTCTTGGTGCATTGATAATGAATCACAGTTTAATCTTATCTCCTGTGATGTCAGGGTATGAGACTTTCCTCCTTTTGTGTAAAAGCTGGAGACTTAAAAAGATGCAGAATTTCGTATGTAATGTCTAGCATTGGGAAGGATTTTATGAAAATGCAAATTTTCCCTCTTTTTAACATCCTGTCCCATTCCTGTACATCCATACTATGTGTCTTTGTGCAAAAAGATTTGCTATATTTATGATGCAAAACATTAGTATCACTGTTTTAGACCAAAATGAGGCGAACTCGCAACAAGGGGGAGCGACAGTCAATGAGAGAGGAGATGAAGTATCTGAGGAAGGAGCTCCACCAGAGGGAGACTGCTGCTGTGCGAGAGATCCTAAAGAGAGCAGATGTTGTGCTGGGGACCCTGACCAGTGCCACCGAGGATGGACCCCTGAAACATTTAGATGACCAACACTTCGACCTAGTTGTCATTGATGAGTGTTCTCAGGTATAGAAAAATTTGCTGGAGACAGCTGCATAAACCCAGTTTCTCCACTAGTAGTAGACCTGATAGACACAAGATGTCTGAAGAAAATGTGTTTAAATAATGGTATAGCACGCAATTTTATGCAATTCCTAAGGTTGTATCATTGAACAAGTGTGTGTGTGCATGCGTGCGTGCGTGCGTGCGTGCTTGAGAGAGAGAGAAAAAGAGAGAGAGGGAGGGAGGGAGGGAAGGGTAAAGTGAATTAACTAACAATTGTTGTGAATGGACAGAGCATTTTAAAAGCACCTATTTAACATTTATTCCAGTCCCTAGAAGCTGCCTGCTGGATAGCTCTTCTGAAGGGACCGAGGTGTATCCTGGCTGGTGACCACCAACAACTGCCTCCCACCATTATTTCACACAAGTGAGTAGGATTGGCATGTACTGTGGTTCTAAATGGTTTAATTCTTATCAGAGAAATTGAACAGTAAAGGAAGGGGTTGTTTCACATTTATCATTTCTGCCTTGTTTAGTTTTATTTTTCAGTTTTAAAGATAAGATATATTAACACTAAAAATGTAAGAGCAATTTCGGCACACTAAAAATGTGACAGGTGATGATCTGTTATCTCTTTCTCAGAATTTTTTTAGACTGTGTATGCTAACTTCTACTCTGAATTTTGTCATGCCCTCAGCCCTGTCTTTCATCAGATTTAGTCTGTATTAAGTACACTCACTATACAAACTTGTCACCCAGGGCTACTAAGGGAGGGCTAGATGTCACTATTATTGCAGTCACTATACAATCTTATAACAACTAGGGCTGCCAAGGGAGGTCTTGAGGTCACTCTAATGGAGAGAGTCCTGAAGCTTCATGGAGACAAAGTGATGAGAATGCTGACAATGCAGTACAGGATGCATGAGCTGATCATGAACTGGTCATCAGAACAGCTGTACCATGGGAAACTGGTGGCTCACGAGTCTGTGGCCAAACACCTGTTGAAGTAAGCGCTCACATGACTCATTTGAAAGGACTGGGATGAGGATTATTGTATGGATGCTAATGCTTGTGTCAGACTTCAATTTACAGTTTAAGCTCTGGTTTGTTTTTTGAAACATAGCAGCAGTAACAAAATGGTTTTGATAATTTTTGTAATGCCATTTGAAAATTAACTAGAAAATATATAATATAAGCTGACAATTAGAATATGATTATAGTTTTCGATATGTCAGGCGACAACATTGATAAGTATACATTTTATAACATGTTTGTTTTTAAGATAAGTTTATATTCTAGAGATTTGCCAGGGATAGAGACCAATGAGAATACCACTTTACCTTTGTTGCTGATTGACACAGCAGGATGTGATCTCCTGGAGCTAGAGACCTCAGATGAAGTTTCCAAGGGAAATGAAGGTAGACAAATACTTTCTATTCGAAAAGTTTTGGAAGTGTAAAACTTTAACTGTTAACATCTACAATGCAATAATTATTAATTTCTAATAAAGAAACTTAGTTTACATGGTTAAATCTCCCAGGTTTATATTTTTCTGTCAGATTTGTTAATTTGATTTTGGTAAGAGTTACATTCCTTCTATCTTGAAGCAAGAATACAGTTGTATTTTTAATGTGCAGCTGTAAGGAATAACACTTGTGTTTTGCAGGTGAAGCTGGCTTGGTATCTGCCCATGTGGAATCTCTGATAACCAGTGGACTGTCAGCAGAGGACATAGCAGTGATAGCCCCTTACAATCTACAGGTATAGCACAAATACTGGGAACATGCTCATGTTTATTTGACATCCTGATAACTGATTCTTCATAATCTTTTAATTACCCAAATTGAATTTACTAGACAGAATTTCTTACAAACATAAAAAATCGATTACTTAGAGTCCCACATCATCACAAGGCTAATAATTAAGTCATATTATCAAAACCAATTTGTATTGCACAATTGAGGTTCATTATCCAGGTTGATCTTCTCCGTCTTCGTCTGTCTGCCAAGTATCCTAAGTTAGAGGTCAAGTCAGTGGACGGGTTCCAGGGCAGGGAGAAGGAAGCTGTGGTCATTTCATTGGTCAGATCTAACAACAAAGGTATGAGGGGAAGGAGGAGGGATACATGTTGGTCATTTCTTGTTTTCAGATATTTCTTTTTTTTTTTTTTATCAGATGTAATTGAGACATTAATTTGAATAAAGTGGCAATGTTAAATTATGAAAACAAATTTTAGTCTTTAAAGACTTACATGGATGTTGTGTGAGCCAAAGTTGAAGCTTTAGTTTTATTTTAGTGAAATTTATGAATTAATGCCAATTAATTTCACTTTAGGTGAAGTTGGATTTCTAGCTGAAGACAGAAGGATAAATGTAGCCATAACTAGAGCCCGGCGCCATCTAGCGGTGATATGTGACAGTGAAACAGTCAGTCACCGTGCTTTCCTTAAGTCCCTGGTGGACTACTTAAACAAGCATGGAGAGGTTAGAAGTGCACACCAGTACCAGAATGGTAGGTTGAACATTTATGTCCAAATGAAAGAAGACATAATGATTGATTTGATCTTAGTTTATTTAATCAGTCTGCTGCATATGGAATTTTAAAGATTAATTGTATACACCCTCATTGTTATTGTTGTGTGTGTGTGTGTGTGTGTGTGTGTGTGTGTGTGTGTGTGTGTGTGTGTGTGTGTGTGTGTGTGTGTGTGTGTGTGTGTGAAGAGAAAGGGAGAAGAGTTCTAGTTAGTTTTGGTTTCAAGTTACATTCATAAACATAGCAGTCTTATTTTGAATCGTGCTATTTTTCCAGAGCTGGACCTGTCTAGTCACTATGAACTTCCAGAACACATTCAATCATCCATGACAAAAGCAAGCTCTGGAAACGCACACAAGGAACAGAAAGAAAACAGTGGTGCAAGACCGAAAGCAAATCAGGCAAAGAAAAAGAAGGAAAACAAAAGACCAGGGACTGCCTCAGATACTGCTGGAGCAAAACCTTATCTGAGTGAAATCAAACAGTGAGTTTCATTGCTCGTCATACTGTGTTAGACTTGTGGAAGATAATTCCATTGAAAAAAAAATGGACAAAATAAATGATAATATGTAGGAAATAGGAACAAAAAATTATGTGTTTTTATTTCAGAAAAAATATACTTATTTAACCTTTACAACTCATTGGATAATTAAACTTATATTTGATAAGACTGGACCTTTGGAATGAAAGACCTAGAAGATTGAAAGGGCAAGATTTGATTTGTGCAGTACAGTTTTATACAGGCCCAGACAAGTAACTGTTGTGGAGCTGAATTTGCTCTGTAACTGCCTAGCTGTGTTGATTAACTTTAAATGTCACTTGACAAGAGTCTGCATTATTTTACAGACCTACAGATGAAGACAAAGAAGAGTTGTTGACTAGCATAGAGACGGAAATCATGGACTTCATGGCTGACCAGAACAGGACAGAGCACAGTTTTCCATCCTCATTGTCTTCAAGGGGAAGATTTGTTGTGCATGAGGTGTGTACAAACTTTGTACATTTTTGAGTTCCTAGTTTTGCCTTAATTATCTGCTTTAAATTAAAAGTAGTAAATTTCTACATATGATTGACAGACATGTAACAGTGAGACTGTAAATGTTTATGTAGACATATTCTAATAGTTTAGTCTCTATTTGAGTTTAGATAGCAGAGAGATTGGGTATCACCCACATCAGTCAGGGAGAAGGTCAGTCAAGGCACATCATGATTAGCAAACAACCACCTGCTGTCTCAACAGAAACACAAAGAAGTGACAGTGCCCCAAGTAATGTGCAAAGAGAGAAGGACAACAATGGTGTAGGAACCCGTGGTCAAAATAAAAAAGAGAAGAGAGACGAGGAATTCTGTAACAATCATCAAAGTCTCTCTTTGTGCTCTGGACCAGATGAAGCAATACTACAGCAGG